CTTTTTGATTAAGTATTAATTTATATTTTTGTTATGTTTTGCATGAACATTGATTTTAATGATAATCCGAAAATTCGGATGTTGGTTCAATAAATTTATTGTATTTGATTTGATTTGATTTCCATTCGCCCTCTCCGCCCCCCCCCCCCCCCCCACAAAAAAAAGAGCATACACGCTCTGGTGGAGGCAATATAAAAATGTTTATAATACATCCTACGTCTTAACCCTTACTGCACCGGGGGCCTCCGAGCCCTTCCCCAACACATTTTTGCAGCGCAATAATGAACGCAGCATTTTCAGAAAGGCCACTTCACGACTATCTTCGTAACTGATCTTTTGACATCTAGTTGTTTTAAAGGGCAACCGAAATTGGAGATTTTTGTCATTTTTTGTATAAAAACAAAATCAGTAATGTTTCACTCTTTAGACTTGATTTATCATTGAAAATTGATCTAGATAATGACCTTTAGTATCAAAAGTCCTAAAACAAAGCAAATACATAAATAAAAATAATAGAATCATAAGAATTTCATAAAACAATGAAATTATAATGCATAATAATCAAAATAGACATGGACAACTTTTCTATCTGGTAATAACCAATAAGATTTTAAGAAACTTTTTGCCAAGAAATAAACTCTGTTAAAGCTTTATTTATGTAAATATTAATAAAAACATAATTTATTAATATAATTTGCATAAATTAGCATAATTGATGAAATAAGCAATTTCCAGAAAAAATAATATAATGGCGTGATCTCTTCCTTTGCGCACTTTTTGATTCACGTGCCCAGTTTCGTGGCGAAATTAGGGGAGGGGACCTTTGAGGCCCACCCCCCCCCCCCCCCCCCCCCAACCCCAGTACGAAGCTCAAAATAGCCCGGTTCAGGAAGGGTTTAAATGAAAAGTCTTGCTTTCTTCCAATTTGGATCAAAATTAATTAAGCTATAGCACATCATATCAAATTCAACATCATACTTTTAATTACATGTTAATTTTGAGGTCAGTTAATTTCATGAGTTCCCTATACTATAGCAGACATACATGTATGTTTTTAAAACTATTTTTCAACAATTAGAGGATGAAATTGTTATATTCCTTTGTCAAAACCAGAAAATTTTAGGCGATTGCGTAATAAAATGGATAGTGGCTGGCAATGGAATGAACCATTAGTGAAGTGATCTTCAAAGCATAAACAATGCACAAATTAAATTGAGCAGATTTAATATTCATGTTGAATGAATTTAATCAACACCTCATGTACCACAAGTACTTTTAAATAGGAAACGACAACAAGTATATTATAAAATATTAACTGAATACATTTCCTGAAATTAATTTTCCAAAATATAGGTAATTTATAAATATATACTTATATTTTTCATATTGGCACAATCATGCTTCAATGTTGTTGATTTCTCTTGTCTAGTTTGTACAACACTCAAACTATTATTACATTTTCTTCAATTAGCCTAACTTAACCAAAAGCCATAACACAAGAAAATGGCTGCAGGTAAATTATTACAACAACAAAACAAAAAATAGCTCAAAATAATTTCTCAAAAATAGGTGAACATCCCGGGGCAAAATTTTAGGTATTATTTACCCTCATGGATGTATTAATGTGGAACATCTCAAGTATTGCTCCTTCCTCTTTTACCCAATTAAACTGCATTATTGTTTTGGACACATTGTTTTGGACCTCATGTTGGCCCCCCAAAATAGATTATGTACAAAACATTCTAGACTTTTTTTCTAAATAAGTAGTAATTACTCTTTTCCCCAGTTATGACCAATAATATGATGACCGATATGAAATAGTCAATACAAAAACAAAACAAAATCAAATATTGAGATTTCGAAAACTTGAATACATTTAAATCAAAATTACTATAGTCCATTTACTTTTGCATAAATGTTTATATATTCTTTACATATCAAATATGTCTCACAATCTTATTTACAAATGAAATAAAATAATGTGCCTCATAGATGGTGCAATATTATTATTAGATGTTTAATAATAAATATGACATAATTGCCATGAATTTTTTTTACCCAGTACGAGATTTAAATATGCTGTTAGTCTAATGACTACAATTATTTTACAGATTGGTCCTTTAAGGCCAAAATTGACATTTCAGATACCCTTGTGTTCAAATTACCGCTTTTCATTGATTGCCTCATAACACTGCCAATCGTGTCTTTTAAGTCTTTTCTAAATCTACATGTAGCTCATCTTCTATTTTATCAATATACGTTTGTGAAATTAAAAAAAAAATCATACCAAAATTGATTACATATGAAATGAAAATAATGTAATACACAAGAAAATAACAAAGAAATAAATTACCCCCCCCCCCCCATTCAATATTTTTAACTAAGCTCAGAATCTTTGAATATGACATTGACCTCCATATTTCCTTAAATAATGCATTAAATAATGCATTAAATATGCATTAAAATTGCATGAAGTAGAATAAAATAATAAATAAGCTACCTATGTGTCTACAAAAACAAGGCGGTTGAAACTTGCAGGTAAAACTTTAACCTCAAATGACCTTAGACCCTACTTTTGACTTTTACCCCAACAACATTTGAAGGTCCCATTATACCCTTTTCACATCTATTTTTCTTAACCCCGGACTATCCTTAACCCCATACTATTTTTTTGCTGTTCACATCTATTTTCTTAACCCCGGACTATGTGCTTAGCCGGGGTTAAGAAATTTCACGCGATTCACACTACGTTCGCCTTAGCCCCGGACTATTCGATAGCTCATGAATATTAATGCTTTTGCTACCGCGCATGCGCCTTTCGACTAAATGAAGGGGAAAAACCCGCGCGCTATAATCAATATCGGTCAACGAACTCTTTGCTTGTGGTAAAAAGACCAACAATATACAGTACGGTACGTAATAATTTTAGCTCGCTCGTGTTGTGTTATCCAGCCTTGCGCAAAGCGTTTTCCCTTTATTATTTTACCGATACAAATCAATTACCCATTTTTCATCCAATTCACTTGATAAATTTACCTACGTAAATATGACTGATAATGATAAATGCAATAAAAAATTATGAGCTACATGTTCTTTCACTATTTTTTTAAATCAATTTTATAATAAAGATTTTTTCATAATGACCTCTGCCTCGTAAAAGACTAAACGTCAATACAGAGAGCATGCATGCGTAACGTGAACTGCATGCATAGCGCGCGATAAATGCAAATTCACGACCACACGACCACGCTGTCTGTGATTGGCTGTTGCTTAGCCCCGCTTCTCCTTAGCCCGGTTCGGATTCACACTACGCAGCTTAGCACCACAATTGCCCGGCTAACCCCGCAATTGCCCGGCTAACCCTGCTATTTTGCAGGGCCAGATAGTCCCGTACTATTTGTGGGGTTAGCCCACTTTGGCAAAACGTAATGTGAACAGAAAGCCGGCTAAAATTACCCCGGGTAATTGGTGGGGCTAAGGAAGGAATTGGTGGGGCTAAGAGCCCCCTTAGCCCCACCTATTTCCCGGGGTTAAGCAATATTTGGTAGATGTGAAAAGGGTAATAGTGTATTTACCACCTGAGTTTAGTTGAAATCGGTCCTATGGCTGCAAAGTTATTAGAGTTTATTTATAGTTAAGGACGGACAGAGAACTCTTAACCTACCTCCACCTTCAGCGGGCTCAACCAAAAACATGCAACAGAATTCTTTGCGAATGTTTCGACATGTACTACATGTAGTATATAGAAGCAAATTTTCTCGCAAATGGACCAGCTATTACATGTAGCCAAGATATTGGAGGGGGTGGGGGGATGGGGTGGTTACTGAACCATAATTATTTCAAGACTTGGGGGGGGGGGGGGGGGATAGTTATTCTGTCAGTTGAAATTTAAATTGCAACACAATATACAGTGGAAACTCTATATAAGAGTTCTGATACAGTCCACTCCTGTTATAAAGAGCGCTTATACAACAAGATTTTGCTATAACGAGGGAATTCTCCCGGTCCAAATTTCAAACATGTGCATATATGTGTGTGTGTGTTCAGTAGAACAAGATTTTGTTATAACAAGTTAATTGGCTTGGTCCCAAGCATCTCGGTATGACGGGAGTTGACTGTATAAAAAGCTATTTCTCCAGTCACAATGAGATCAATTTGTTTTGTTTTGTTTTCTTTATTGACTACTGATAACAAACAAAATCTTTCGGTGCCACGAACCTCGTAATAAAGAGATTTCACTGTATAGTTTAAATTATATTTCTTAAATGGTTTACTAGCAATAATTCAAAATATCACATTTCATCGGAAATATACCACACCCCTTCATTAAAAAAATGGTTAGAACTTAGAAGACCAAAGTCAATATCTTATTAACCCATTAACAACGGGAACCGGACGCTTCCTGTTTTAAACCTATGGGAATGGGATAATTCAGTTGTCAACGGGTTAATTGCACATGACATTCATATACCATTTTTTTTTTACATCTAGATGTTCTGCATTTGTTGTCCTACTAAATTGGAGGCCTTATAAGTACGGTAAACACAACACTAATCCAGTAAAACTATTAAAACTAAATATAATGTTTATAGAGAACACATCCTAAACATGTTAAATCCCAAATATGTTTGGATAAACATTTCAAAAGGGTCTTCTTGAAGAATATAGTAATACATATATTCCATATTGTAAATTGTTCAAATATGAATAGAACCATTGTATCTTCTAACTAGATATAAATATATATATTATAGGTTTGACTTGTGTATTTTCTACAGTTATCAATCAACTACATGTACATAACATTGTTGTTATGCACATTAATGATTCAATGATAATGAGATTTAATGAACAGAGCATACATGTGTACATGTACCTCAAAATTGCCAGGGCCATTTGTTGGCTCATTTTACTTAATGTACCCTCCCTGGTCATATTATTGCAACATAGCTAAAATACGTGCGATTTTGATTTTACAAGCCTTTCTGTATATTGTTATATACATTCATAACCATAGTGTTGTCGACCATTTTTGTATATTGTGAAGACGGAAGACTTGTCCCTTTTCATTCCTGAGAGCAGAAGATTACCAGACCCTGTCATTTCTGAAACAAAGGGAAAGACAAAAAAACAAAGGCAAACAAATTTTTGGGAGGGGGGGGGGGGGGGGGGGGTTATCAGTGAACAAAATCATGAAACTGTTTCATATTTCTCCCAAAACTGTTTACAGGCTTCGTTTATACTTTTGGCAAAGACATAATGGCCATAAGGTACCAATACAAGGGCAACACCCAGAGAAGAAAGATTTCTTTGTGCCGTTGCTAAGGAGGATGCGTGCCAAAATCAGAGGTCGTGATTATCCAGCAAAATGTAATAAATGTGTGAAAAATTCACCTAATGCAGTAAATTACAATATATTCACCACAAGAAACTGACTATAATTTGATATATCAGTGGAATAAAGTTGCATTTAAACGTCTTTGCAATACAGGACTAAATCCTCCTTGGCAACGGCACAAATAAATTTTAAAATCTTTCCTTATGTCTTTCTTTGTTTTGTTTTCTTTCCATCTGCTCCTTTTCAATTTTCTTATGGACATGCGTTTTGAACCCACCCCCTTTTGTGTTACGCCACCTAAATCTAAAAATCGTGCACCTATCAGATCAAAGTGTTCTTAACTCTAACCCTATAAGCGGATCCCCCCCCCCCCCTTTCCCGAAATTGAGCCTTTTTATTTTGTCGCTCACATAATTATGTCAATAACATTAACATAAAGCAACTGGGGGCATCTTAAAAGATAGCACCTAAAACAAGATTGTTTGATTTACTCGCTAATCGTAGATTGTGTTCAAGTATTGTAATTTTTGTTTATAATTTTTGCTACTAATGGTCTCAATGTTTACCACCTAATATGCTTACATCGAGAAATACATTAGAACTGTTAAGTTTATAAACTACGATATAAGATATAACAAGAAACTGTATGTAAATGAAATTAAATGATAAAAAATTCTGCAATAATAAATTAATTCACCCATGCAATTTTCATGAAAATAGATGTAATGCGCAGTTTGTGTCCTTAAGCATTGAAACCAGTCCTATAAATGTTGCTCGCTTGCTTTGACGACTACTCCACTATAAAAAAATAAAAAAAATACATAGATTTACGTAAAGACAAACGATATTATAATCAAATATAGTCAGGAGTGAGGGATATGTCTCAGAATGTTAAAGGGAAATCAATATTTCATTGCAAGATTGCTTACTTTGGGGGGGGGGGGGGAGGGATCAAAGAATCACATCTTCAGTGAAAGTTTAAGAATAAATTTATAAATATAAAGAAAGGTATGATAATTTGAAAGTTGCTATCAAAAATGATAGAAAATCTCCTATTGGTAATGCGGTCCATCTGTGTGATGACATACATGGAGAACTTTTCCCATATGGTGGACAAAAATATGTTCAAAACTTTATTTCCACCCCATTCCAATGATAGATGAGACGTTGAGTGTGTAACTTGTTTTTACATGACCTCCCGTTAAAATAATCTGTTCCACTATTATAATAGAGAAATGACTTATTTCAGTAAAGTGTTTACCAACAAAATGGGAAAGATAGTGACACCACACATCATGGTTGCATTAGCAATGGGAGAATTCCTCATTAGTGATTCTAAATTTCAAAAAATCATATCTTTCCCATTGACGTCTGATATTTCTGAAACATTGCCCCAATTTTTTTTTTTAATATTCTGCAGTCTTACAATAAAATTTTCTCTGAAAAGTTAATTCCCTTTGTCTTTTGTAGGTTTGCCTTTGGTACATATTTTCTAAAAGAAATTGTCTTTGTTGCCCCTTAATTTGATAAATCCTTAGGGAAATAAAATATATTTTAGTTAAGAATGTAGGATCTGATCAGAGGCGGGAGCTTTTTTTGTATTCAAACTCTCATTTGTTTTGATGGATTCTTGCAGGTAACCATAATATGTGGGATAAATCAAGGCAAAGAGCAGCAAACAGTTATGGATGGGGAGGGGTGGAGGCAATTTCCTATGCTCCCAACATCAATACTCATGATTTAATATGCCGCAGAATATAACAGAGAGAAAGATTTAAATTTTATTCAGTATTTACTTTGATAATACCTCAACATTTTTTTTTCCTCAACATGTTTGCAATACAGTTAGTACAGGGGGGTGTTTCACCAAGTCGTTCGTAAAGTTACAAACGACTTTACGAATGACTGGAACATGTTCTTGGGTGCTATACTAATCACATTCTTAATCATTTAGCACAAGAACTGATCACCAGTTGTTCGTAAAGTCATGCGTAAATTTGAATTATGAACGACTTGGTGAAACACCCCCTGGTACATGTACATGTATGAGAAAATACTAAGGAAAATGCAATAAACAAATAAATAATATAGTGTGCCCGGCAAAAGGGTGTGAACAGAAATATGGGTCGATAATTTTAATTATTAATTTTGTGATAAAATGATAGAGAAATGATCTTTCACATGATATGATTCATGGTCCTGGGAGTAACATCATTATAACATTATAGTTCAATTTGGATTAGATATTTCGTTCCCCTGTCATTTTTATCAAAAATTAAAGAAAAAAAAAATGGCCCAAATTTGTGTTCGCACCCTTCTCCCGGCACACAACGAAAATTACGATTTCAATGCTAATCTATAACATAAAATAGGAAATACAAATAAAAGAGGGCAGCTAGATCCTTGAAGTAAAGCTTTGCCTGAGGAACATAATCTTTACTAAAAATAAGGAATCACGTTCTCACCAGTAGCAAACAATGTGTAATAGTATTTATCAAAAGTTAAAAAGAGCCCTTTTTGTTTGGGGGTACGAGAAACGCGGAAGGGGAGGGGTTACTACGATTCCTGTCATCCCTGACCACCTCCTCTCATTACAAAATATTTCTGCTGTCGGGCCAGCTTTGAATTTATCAATATTTTTTAGGCACTTTTAGTACATTGTCATGGTCAAGACTATATCAAGCGAAGGAAGGGGGGCAATAGTCAATTAATATGGGAAGGGGGAGGGTAAACTGCCCATTTCTATAATATATTTCAAATATCATTATATATAATGGGCACACCACATGGGAAAATAGGAATAAAGTAACTTCTTAATTTCGCTCTATACTCAGTTTTAGAATTATGGACATCACGTCCCATATCACTTAAAATGTTCAGTTTATAATGGGCTACGATTTAGCGATATAATAGGGAAAATGCTAAGAACCTGTATTTTTCTCTATATAATAAAAATCAAATGTATATATAATTGTAGATGATTTAATATTTTTTTATTTGATACAAGTCAGGTTGATTTGAGGTTTAATCTGAAAGTCATTTTGTTACATTTAAAAACACCAACATGTCCCCAATATAGTATTACACATACTTGTACGGAGCTTATATTGTTACTAGTATATTGCAAAAATGTTGTTTTTGTTGAAATCAAGTTCATGATTTTAGGATGCTCCAACATTTTGGTTAAATAAGATACAAACCTGTAATTTTCACAGGATGTTGTGCATATAATTGGACAATTTTCTAAACAGTTGCAAATGAAATTTCACTTCTGAGTTTTGATATATGCAAAGTATGAAATTTGATTACATTCAAATTTTTGAAAACAATGAGCAAAAATTAATTTTTTCCCTCAAAATGTTTATTTTGAGCCCTCTGAATTCCATCAAACTAGGTATCATTGTGTACACAATTTAATACTTTTAAATAATACTAAATTTTAGGTGATTTGATGTATTAGGACGCCCCCTTCAATTTTGAGGTGACCGCTACAAATTTATAAGAGCACACATCTGAAATATTGTTTCCGATGATATTATCTTTCCAAACATCAAGGTGTGCATAGTTTGTACAGAAGTAACATAAAAATCCTCTTTTCTGACTTTGGCCCTTTGCTTATTTAAAAAATGACATGCAAAATAAGGTAGGGTGAGATGGTAACATCTTATGAGGGAAAATAGTTGATTTTTGAGGGCCCCAATTTTTTTTAAATTTTGAGCCCCCATATCTTTCCTCCCTGAAACTTCCTTTCATAAGATATATAATTATAGGGGGTTCCTTCATTTCATAATTTCAATTTTTCTTATGTGTACAACAAATGGGGTCGCTCCCATAGATTTTGGGTGTACCACTTCCCCCCACCCCCTCAACCACCCTCATCATTTTTAATTCTATAGGAATTTCAAGTGCTAATTAGCTCATATTTATAGGCATGATATAGTTTTTATTCAGTTTTCAAATGATACCAATTTGATGACAATACTCAGCCTAGATATGAACACAATGACATTTGAAAAAGCCACCCATTTTGGGTGGTGAGTTCAAAATGCATGACCGTATGCATTTCTTTGTTCTTTTCTCTTCTCTTTACCTTCTCCTTTTTTTTTTTTAATGCTTTGTGTTCCCCCGTTTCCATCTTCTTCTTCTATTAATAATTATGTGCACACCTTGTGTATTCTTTTTTTTTTTTTTTTTTTTTTTTTTTTTTTTTGTGTTTGTTACTCGGGTTAGTGGTTTGGAGTGAGAACAGCGTGGATTTCCTTAGCCGGGGTTAGGCAGATAACAATGCCAGTGAGAAAAGGAAAAATAAATAGTACAGGGCTAAGGATAGTCCGGGCTAAGAAAACACAATGAGAAAAGGGTAGGAGTCATAATAAATCATTACCATGGGTTACAGTGTACTACATTGTATCAACCTTCATCTGTGATACACATTGGTATTAGGGAAGGGCTTTTTTTAATAGTAATTATTGGTATATATATAGAAGACATCTATTTTTCCAAATGTGAAAACATTATTACATACAAATAGCTTTATTTTAAAATGATTATAGAGGGCCATTCCACGGTAACTCGTGTTACAAATAATGGGTACATTTCAAGATTATGGGTCGATATCTTTAAAATTGTTAAGATCTACAAGTTACTTTTTTCACTATATGATGACATAAATGGTACACTGGGGTACCAACTAAAAAATCACCATTATTGTTGAATTATTTAATTTTTTCAGCGCTGTACCCTGGGTTACCAAAAAATGCGTAAAATTGATTTTTAGAGTTTTATGCAAGAAGATTTTTTCTCGTTAGTGATCTTATGCAACAATTAATGTATGCAAATAATAACTTTATTCTAATTTACATGTTCTGTACTAATTATTGATCTTGTGACTTTGAATGTAAAATGTCATTGCAACTTTGAAACTGTACCGTAGCGGACAATTTATTCATGTATTTATTGTGCTACATTATATGATTTTGCAGATTTTCTATAAAAATTTTGTATAAAATAAAATAAATAAATAAATTTTAAAAAAAATTAGGAGAGGGCACTTCACAGAACCGTACCCCGGGTTATTACCATACACCGGGTACTGCGTTGTGCATCATATGTAGCATAGACATAGACTGATTAAATGAATCAAAAAACAAAACAACAAAGGTCAAGCTTGTTCAGATTCTTGACTCGTTTAATTTCGGTAACTCACATTACGAAAAAAGGACACGGTCAATTTCATGAAAGCCTGTTGTGACGAAGTCTCCTCATACTAGACAATGTTGACACAACTTTTCCTATCTTGAAATGATATTAGGTTATGTCTAATAGATCAACTATATCATAGTGGAGAAACAATGGACTGGTAAAATACAGGGAGCATTAATGTTGGTAACTCGTGTTACTGTATGTGCGACCCTTCATATACCAGATTTTTGTATCTTTTCCACGTCTTCAGTTTGAATTTTATTGTTTATATATGTGTGACTTCATGTTCTTCAGATTATCCAATTGAAAAAAAATTACGAAAGAAATCCTTGTTTTCTGTCACTCTAAAAAACTGAGTGTAGTCCCACATGTTTCAATCTATATATAGTACGGATTCTCCAACAAGGACATTAAATTTTAAGGTAAAATAAAAGCAGTCTGCATTCCTCAATGCACTAATAATTTCAGATGAATTTGAACCCCAAAACATAACCTGAATTTCAGATAAACCAAAAAGAAAGAAAAAAAGAAGAAATGTCCACCATCCCGTGGTATAGGTAGAAATATAATAAAACTTACTTTACATGAGTTTGTCTCATTCAACTTTCCAATTTGCTTATAGGCCCCTATCCGTGTAATTCAATCAAATTCAAATTTCTTAAAGCATCACTATATATATGTTTATATATAACTGTTTCGTGTAAATTATGTTTTTTGATAATTTTAAATGCTGACAGATTTTTCATACATTTCAATCTCACAACCGTTCAGATTACGCTATGTCAGACATGTCCTAGCAGTCAGATCTGTGACCTTTGACCTATTATTCAAATTTTTTGACAGATTTTCTGCCCATAGAGATACGTGTTACCAACAAGTTTGAACTTCATATCTCAACTGGTTCTTGAGATTTCGGGCCCGCACCGCAGTGTATTGCACAAGTCAACCTCTGTGTCCATTGAACTTTGACCTTGTTATCTCAAATCTAATCATACAGATGATCTTCCTACGGTGATATACATGTACACTATCATCAAGTTTGAACTTCATATCTCAAGCGATGGCAGAGGCATACAAATAGCATTATAGAAATTGTTATTGCTTGTATATTAATTAGTTTGCTTTTTTAGTTTTTTAGATATGATCTCTACAACTAGATAATTTCCAATATAAATACAACACAAAAAGTAAGTTCATGCTAAAACAAACATCGTTAATTTTTTAAGCAGGAGGAGTTGAAAAAATGGTTCAGTAAGCAAAAGGCAAAAATGTCACTTTTGAAGTTTACTGGCCTAATGACATAACTTTGATTCAATGATATTGGAACAAATTTCAGGTTTTCAACATAAGATGTGTCAGAAGGCATGTAAAGATGTACTTCCAAACACACAAAATGACTTTTGCGCCAAATTTCAGTTGAGTGAGCACGGGTGAAAATTGCAGTTTATACATCTTTTTTTCCACTGTTAATTTAGATCAAATATGATGGAATTAATGTTTTGGGATAGTGTTCTTGACCATTGCAAACAATATCCATTAATTTACGGTTGAATGAACACATACTAAAAACAAAAAAAAGATCATGTTAAAATTATGAAGCAAGTATTGTTTTCATTTTGTGCACTAAAAATCATCCAAACAAAATTTTTTTGGGTATGTTTATGACCGATGGACATTTGTAAACAATCCTATGGCATTTAATTCAGAATTCATGCTTCAATGAGCACGTGGGACTGGAAAATCTCTTTTTTTACTTATAACTAAAATTCAATTGCTTACTTTCGTTAACTATCATAATTCTTCTCGGGGAGTTCGTCTGATTTTATTTCTATGGAAATCCTGATGTCTTAAGATATTAGCATATTATGTAAATGAGAAGAAAGTTTAGGCCTTTGTCATCGCTCCGTAGTGTATCAGATACGTAATTTGGCATATGCTCCTATTAGTTAGTAACCTCCTGAAGATTTGTGCCAAGTTTCATGAAATAACTCACAGTAAAATGAACAAAAGTCATCAATGAAAATAGGCCAAATTTATCTTTTGTTAAATATTGATTTCCTCCCCCAATTACTTTATTTACAGAGGTTAATTATATTTTTTAACTCCTGGTTAAAAATTATTGATGTTTTTTTTTTAGGAAACTTACTTTTTGTATTGTGTTTAGTTTCCTTCCTCTCTTCATGTGATACAAAAGACATTTGAGAATCTTTAGAATTTGATGATTTTGTTTGTTCTCTCCATACTTATTATAAAGGTTCCTACTTCCAAGACATCACTACTCTTCACAGGAATAAACTCACTGTCTATGCAGTCAATACAAGTCCAGGAACATCAACTGATGGAAGTCCTCTAAGCTAGGTTGCTTGCAAGACAGGAGCACACTCAGCTGCAACTTCATTGAAGGAGAAGGTTCTTGGTATTGCCAGTACATCACCAAGCCCACAGCTAAAAAAGGTATTATATTAATAAATCAGGATCAATAAGAAATCATTCTTTATCTCATTGTTAAACTCTTCTAGGATAATTTCTTCAAGATGATGCACTTGGTTTGAGCTTTTCAAAAAGAAGTTGGAGATAAAACTTAACTTATCATTTAGACGATTCCCATTGTCATTTCTTTCTTCTCTTAATTGATCAATGCAATATCACGATTAACTTGGTGCATCTACCTCAAACATATTGTTTATTAATTTCTTATTAAGATAATCTGTACAACTCGGTAATTTCCAATCTAGTTTCCTTCCTCTCTTCGTGAAATACAAAATTATAATTTGATTGACATAACATAAAATTTAGATTCTTTCATGTACAACAAATACAATGATTTGTCTTCCTTCAATTTCTAATTGTTTAAGAATCTTTACAATTTGATGATTTTGTTTGTTCTCTCCATACTTATTATAAAGGTTCCTACTTCCAAGACATCACTACTCTTCACAGGAATCAACTCACTGTCTATGCAGTCAATACAAGTCCAGGAACATCAACTGATGGAAGTCCTCTAAGCTAAGTTTCTTGCAAGACAGGAGCACACTCAGCTGCAACTTCATGGAAGGAGAAGGTTCTTGGTATTGCCAGTATATCTAGGAGGAGCCCACAGCTAAAAAAGGTATTATATTAATAAATCAGGATCAATAAGAAATCATTCTTTATCTCATTGTTAAACTCTTCTAGGATAATTTCTTCAAGATGATGCACTTGGTTTGAGCTTTTCAAAAAGAAGTTGGAGATGAAACTTAACTTATCATTTAGACGATTCCCATTGTCATTTCTTTCTTCTCTTAATTGATCGATGCGATATCACTATTAACTTGGTGCATCTACCTCAAACATATTGTTTATTAATTTCTTATTAAGATAATCTCTACAACTAGGTATTTCCCAATATAGTTTTCTTCCTCTCTTCGTGAAATACAAAATTAAAATTTGATTGACATAACATAAAATTTAGATTCTTTCATGTACAACAAATACAATGATTTGTCTTCCTTCAATTTCTAATTGTTTAAGAATCTTTACAATTTGATGATTTTGTTTGTTCTCTTCATACTTATTATAAAGGTTCCTACTTCCAAGACATCACTACTCTTCACAGGAATCAACTCACTGTCTATGCAGTCAATACAAGTCCAGGAACATCAACTGATGGAAGTCCTCTAAGCTAGGTTTCTTGCAAGACAGGAGCACACTCAGCTGCAACTTCATGGAAGAAGGTTCTTGGTATTGCCAGTATATCTAGTAGGAGCCCACAGCTAAAAAAGGTATTATATTAATAAATCAGGATCAATAAGAAATCATTCTTTATCTCATTATTAAACTCTTCTAGGATAATTTCTTCAAGATGATGCACTTGGTTAGAGCTTTTCAAAAAGAAATTGGAGCTGAAACTAAACTTATCATTTAGACCATTCCCATTGTCATTTCTTTCTTCTCTTAATTGATCGATGCGATATCACTATTAACTTTGTGCATCTACATGTACCTCAAACATATTGTTTATTAATTTCTTATTAAGATAATCTCTACAACTAGGTAATTCCCAATATAGTTTCCTTCCTCTCTTCGTGAGATAAAAAATTATAATTTGATTGACATAACATAAAATTTAGATTCTTTCATGTACAACAAATACAATGATTTGTCTTCCTTCAATTTCTAATTGTTTAAGAATCTTTAGAATTTGATGATTTTGTTTGTTTTCTCCATACTTATTATAAAGGTTCGAACTTCCAAGACATCACTACTCTTCACTGGAATCAACTCACTGTCTATGCAGTCAATACAAGTCCAGGAACATCAACTGATGGAAGTCCTCTAAGCTAGGTTGCTTGCAAGACAGGAGCACACTCAGCTGCAACTTCATTGAAGGAGAAGGTTCTTGGTATTGCCAGTACATCACCAAGCCCACAGCTAAAAAAGGTATTATATTAATAAATCAGGATCAATAAGAAGTCATTCTTTATCTCATTGTTAAACTCTTCTAGGATAATTTCTTCAAGATGATGCACTTGGTTAGAGCTTTTCAAAAAGAAGTTGGAGATGAAACTTAACTTATCATTTAGACGATTCCCATTGTCATATCTTTCTTCTCTTAATTGATCGATGCAATATCACGATTAACTTGGTGCATCTACCTCAAACATATTGTTTATTAATTTTTTATTAAGATAATCTCTACAACTCGGTAATTTCCAATCTAGTTTCCTTCCTCTCTTCGTGAAATACAAAATTATAATTTGATTGACATAACATGAAATTTAGATTCTTTCATGTACAACAAATCCAATGATTTGTCTTCCTTCTATTTCTAATTGTTTAAGAATCTTTACATTTTGATGATTTTGTTTGTTCTCTCCATACTTATTATAAAGGTTCCTACTTCCAAGACATCACTACTCTTCACAGGAATCAACTCACTGTCTATGCAGTCAATACAAGTCCAGGAACATCAACTGATGGAAGTCCTCTAAGCTAGGTTTCTTGCAAGACAGGAGCACACTCAGCTGCAACTTCATGGAAGGAGAAGGTTCTTGGTATTGCCAGTATATCTAGGAGGAGCCCACAGCTAAAAAAGGTATTATATTAATAAATCAGGATCAATAAGAAATCATTCTTTATCTCATTATTAAACTCTTCTAGGATAATTTCTTCAAGATGATGCACTTGGTTAGAGCTTTTCAAAAAGAAATTGGAGCTGAAACTAAACTTATCATTTAGACCATTCCCATTGTCATTTCTTTCTTCTCTTAATTGATCGATGCGATATCACGATTAACTTTGTGCATCTACATGTACCTCAAACATATTGTTTATTAATTTCCCATTAAGATAATCTCTACAACTAGGTAATTCCCAATATAGTTTCCTTCCTCTCTTCGTGAGATAAAAAAAATAAAATTTGATTCACACAACATAAAATTTAAATTCTTTCATGCACATCAAATCCAATGATTTGTCTTCCTTCAATTTCTAATTGTTTAAGAATCTTTAGAATTTGATGATTTTGTTTGTTTTCTCCATACTTATTATAAAGGTTCGAACTTCCAAGACATCACTTCTCTTCACTGGAATCAACTCACTGTCTACGCAGTCAATACAAGTCCAGGAACATCAACTGATGGAAGTCCTCTAAGCTAGGTTTCTTGCAAGACAGGAGCACACTCAGCTGCAACTTCATGGAAGGAGAAGGTTCTTGGTATTGCCAGTACATCTAGGAGGAGCCCACAGCTAAAAAAAGGTATTATATTAATAAATCAGGATCAATAAGAAATCATTCTTTATCTCATTGTTAAACTCTTCTAGGATAATTTCTTCAAGATGATGCACTTGGTTTGAGCTTTTCAAAAAGAAGTTGGAGATAAAACTTAACTTATCATTTAGACGATTCCCATTGTCATATCTTTCTTCTCTTAATTGATCAATGCAATATCACGTTTAACTTGGTGCATCTACCTCAAACATATTGTTTATTAATTTTTTATTAAGATAATCTGTACAACTAGGTATTTCCCAATATAGTTTCCTTCCTCTCTTCGTGAAATACAAAATTAAAATTTGATTGACATAACATGAAATTTAGATTCTTTCATGTACAACAAATCCAATGATTTGTCTTCCTTCAATTTCTAATTGTTTAAGAATCTTTAGAATTTGATGATTTTGTTCGTTCTCTCCATACTTATTATAAAGGTTCCTACTTCCAAGACATCACTACTCTTTACAGGAATCAACTCACTGTCTATGCAGTCAATACAAGTCCAGGAACATCAACTGATGGAAGTCCTCTAAGCTAGGTTGCTTGAAAGACAGGAGCACACTCAGCTGCAACTTCATAATGGAGAAGGTTTTTGGTATTGCCAGTACATCTAGGAGGAGCCCACAGCTTAAAAGGTATTATATTAATAAATCAGGATCAATAAGAAATCTCATTGTTAAACTCTTCTAGGATAATTTCTTCAAGATGATGCAATTGGTTTGAGCTTTTATTGGCATCATGTCAATTGATAGGTTATGATACTGATTTGTGATGTATAATGAATTTATGTTTGAAATACACTGAGCACATATTGTGAAATGAAAAAAAAAAATCAATACATGTAAAGAGATCTTTACTGCATTTGTGAACTGCTTTATACATTTAAGTCAAACTTCATACTGTATACATGTATGGGTAGCGTTTCACAAAGCCGTCTTAAGTACAAGTTCGCTGACAACTTATTGAAATGTATTCAATTTAAAGCATGCAATGTGACTTGTATCAAATGTGTACATATATTGGTACTCTTGATTATCCAAAAATGTTGATTGATTAACTGGTCTAGACTTCAGTCATGGTACAATTAAATTTCACTAAGTGCTCTCCATTTTTTTTTCCAGCACTGATTAGGAAATTTGAAGTGTGTTGTAGCTATGGTCTGGTCTACCATAAAAAGCAATGAGAAACTGGAGTTGCTCATTCATTTTCAGTTTCTGTCTTCCGTTGTCACTTGGTTATCAACTGAAATCTATATTTCAGTTTAAAAGCATTAAATGACCTGAGGTAAATGTTCACATATGATGGTCTAGTACTTTAATAGGTGTTTCTATGTTTTGCTCTTGGTGAGCTCCACCCTGTATACCTGTATACTACATTCCCTGAGCAGTGGCATAGCTACAAAGGGACACAATGTATGTCTCCCAATCAAATGATGGAAAACAAGACAAAATGGAAGAGGAAAAAAGACATAAGTAAAGGGAGATGGAAAAGGGAGGTTAAAACAAAAATGATATTAATCCCTTAATTAATATCATCCCCTAAATCTGAGATCTTACAAATTCACATTCAAATCACCTATTAATACAGGTTCCGCCCTCCTCCAAAATAACAGTGACCCCTAAATTGGTGGACCAATGCTACACCACTGTCTCTACCTCAAGTCAAACTGTTTAATCCTTAGGCAAATGAAAATGCTACATAAAAGCTGTTATTAAATGCTATACCTCTGTCATTTCACAAAACTGACTCAAAACGAAACGATTCTTGGCAAATACGTCTGTCATTGGTCTATCATGAGTGTGACTGAGGTATACATGTTACATCAGCTTACTTCAAATCATCAAGTTGATCGATCATTAATTGATCGATGCGATATCACTATTAACTTTGTGCATCTACATGTACCTCAAACATATTGTTTATTAATTTCTTATTAAGATAATCTCTACAACTAGGTAATTCCCAATATAGTTTCCTTCCTCTCTTCGTGAGATAAAAAAATTAAAATTTGATTCACACAACATAAAATTTAAATTCTTTCATGCACATCAAATCCAATGATTTGTCTTCCTTCAATTTCTAATTGTTTAAGAATCTTTAGAATTTGATGATTTTGTTTGTTTTCTCCATACTTATTATAAAGGTTCGAACTTCCAAGACATCACTACTCTTCACTGGAATCAACTCACTGTCTACGCAGTCAATACAAGTCCAGGAACATCAACTGATGGAAGTCCTCTAAGCTAGGTTTCTTGCAAGACAGGAGCACACTCAGCTGCAACTTCATGGAAGGAGAAGGTTCTTGGTATTGCCAGTACATCTAGGAGGAGCCCACAGCTAAAAAAAGGTATTATATTAATAAATCAGGATCAATAAGAAATCATTCTTTATCTCATTGTTAAACTCTTCTAGGATAATTTCTTCAAGATGATGCACTTGGTTTGAGCTTTTCAAAAAGAAGTTGGAGATGAAACTTAACTTATCATTTAGACGATTCCCATTGTCATTTCTTTCTTCTCTTAATTGTTCAATGCAATATCACGATTAACTTGGTGCATCTACCTCAAACATATTGTTTATTAATTTCTTATTAAGATAATCTCTACAACTAGGTATTTCCCAATCTAGTTTCCTTCCTCTCTTCGTGAAATACAAAATTAAAATTTGATTGACATAACATAAAATTTAGATTCTTTCATGTACAACAAATCCAATGATTTGTCTTCCTTCAATTTCTAATTGTTTAAGAATCTTTAGAATTTGATGATTTTGTTCGTTCTCTCCATACTTATTATAAAGGTTCCTACTTCCAAGACATCACTACTCTTTACAGGAATCAACTCACTGTCTATGCAGTCAATACAAGTCCAGGAACATCAACTGATGGAAGTCCTCTAAGCTAGGTTGCTTGAAAGACAGGAGCACACTCAGCTGCAACTTCATAATGGAGAAGGTTTTTGGTATTGCCAGTACATCTAGGAGGAGCCCACAGCTTAAAAGGTATTATATTAATAAATCAGGATCAATAAGAAATCTCATTGTTAAACTCTTCTAGGATAATTTCTTCAAGATGATGCAATTGGTTTGAGCTTTTATTGGCATCATGTCAATTGATAGGTTATGATACTGATTTGTGATGTATAATGAATTTATGTTTGAAATACACTGAGCACATATTGTGAAATGAAAAAAAAAAATCAATACATGTAAAGAGATCTTGAAATTCTGTCAACTTCGGAAATAATATGTCCATAAATGTGTATATTAATTTAATACATCAAAACCAATGTAAACTTAAAGAAACTAATGATTGAAAATGAGTACTGTCTCTTATATTTAAACTGACATTAGATACATTCTGGATACTTTGACAGTTTTATTTTTTAATCAAACATTACCTAAAATATAGCAATACAATTCCAAAAATACCAGTGAAATAACTAGTGATACCTGTACCCCCCAAATAAATATTTACCATTGCCTCAAATTAATTTCAAAACTAGATTTTTTTCTTGAAGGGAAAGGTTTAACTGTTCTTAATAAGTTATTTGTTGAAATAGTTTTCTGCTTCATTAAAAAAACTATTTTTAGAACGCACATGTACATGTACACAAAAAACTTGTTCAGATGAAGAAAAAAAAAATAGAAAATAAGATTCAATATTTTAATATTATTTCTCTTCCTTCTCTTTACAGCTTTCAAAATGAAGAGGCTCGTCACTACAGAAGCACTCTTTAACTTATTGAAGGAATGGCCTAATACTGACCAATTAGACACCACTGGTTACAGACCTCCATTATGTGCTTGGACAGAACTAGCAACATCTCTGAGGTTAAAGAACAGCATTGGCAATAGAAAGTGGTTATATAACCAATGGAAGAAGAATGCAGAGAGGCTTAGAGATAGAGTATTAGAAGCAAGGAAACTATATTGTGTATGCAGAACAAGAAATGATGAAACAAAACCTATGCTTGCATGTGACAAATGTGAAGAATGGTTTCATCATAAATGTATTGGGATGAGAAACTCTCCCAGCATAAAGAAGATTTACTTCTTATGCCCAAACTGTACCAAAACTTCAAAGAAGCCATGTTCCACTAATGACTTGAGCCAAGGTGCAAATTCTGCATTCAGTTTTGAGCCACAGGACAATGCCAAGGTGCCAGCTCCAGCCGATAGAGATTTAATTCAGGATGATTCCCATGCCAACAGCTCAATAGCTGATCCAAGCCTTGTTGACATTTCTCAAACGGATTGCTCAGGTCAAGCAAATTCAGAAGATGATGACATACATGTATTCAAAGGCGGAGCATCTGTGGGAAAGCCATCAACAACCAAAGACCCATCTGATAATGATCAAAGTATACATAATGGAGCAATCCCGGATGACGACTCCAACAATGAGAGCACATCAGACAACTCAGAAGATGATGATCGCTCCAAAGGCAAGGGAGTACATGTACCTCGAACAACCACAGAACCTGATAATGATCAAAGTATACATGATGGAGCAGAACCGGATGACGACTTCAACAATGAGAGCACAACAGACAACTCAGAAGATGAAGATCGCTCCAAAGGCAAGGGAGTACATGTACCTCAAACAACAACAGAACCTGATAATGATCAAAGTATACATAATGGAGCAATCCCGGATGACGACTCCAACAATGAGAGCACATCAGACAGCTCAGAAGATGATGATCGCTCCAAAGGCAAGGGAGTACATGTACCTCAAACAACCACAGAACCTGATAATGATCAAAGTATACATGATGGAGCAATCTCGGATGATGCCTGCAACAATGTGAGCACATCTGACAACTCAGAAGATGAAGATCGCTCCAAAGGCAAGGGAGTACATGAACCTTCAACACACACAGAACCTGATGATGAAGCAATCCTGGTTGAAACGTCCTCCTATGATAGTACATCAGAATCCAACACAGAAAATGAAGACATTTTTGTAGATGGAACTCACTCAGAATTTTTTTGTATAACATTTATCTTTGTTTCATACTTGAGCAGTACTATTTGCGATTATCATTTTTGTACTGTTTCGCTCCTTGTGTGAAATATTTAGGGGAGGCTGAAATCTTCATTTCTTTCGTGCATGGTACTCATATCAATAGATTTTACAGCTCTCGATCTGTACCTTAATTTTGGATATGCCACTTTACATTTTATATGTGGCGCTTGATCTGCCTCATTTGTATACTTTCCTCATTCAGAGGGTTGAATGAGCTGTGCCTGTGTGTTATTTATTTCCCATAAAATGAAACCTTGTATGTACACCTTTACGATGTAAAGAAAAGAGAGTTATTCATATTAGTGATGTTCTTGGGTCATATTGGTCAGATGAAGATCTATGCCCATGTGTTATTTTCCACAAGGGATACCTTGTATGTATAATGTAGGGTAGCTGGAAACCCTGTATTTTCTGGGGATGTGTTCAAGCGTTTTTGGAAGTGAACTGTACCGTACCTGCTCCAATGACAATGTATACCTTGCCAGTTTTTTTTTTTTCCAAGCGTTCAGGCGCTTATGTTGGAATCTCATTCCCATTTTCTGTGTTAATTTCAGGATATGTGTACAACAGCAATTTTCAATTTGGCGCGCTTGATCACTTCCGGTACGTTACAAAGGAAAATATTACATACAGCAAAAGAGAGTTATTTTTATACATTTACATAATGTCTGTTCTCAGGTTATATTGGTCAGATGAAGATCTAGCTATGCCCATGTATTATTTCCTACCAGGGATACCTTGTATGTATAATGTAGGGTAGCTGAAAACATGCACCTCTACCATGTAAGAGAGTTTATTTTGTATACATTTATATCTCACATGACGAACTTAGAAAAGCCTTCTATGCTCATTAATGGATATGATTTGTGATCGAGTGTTATTATTGTTATATTATACAGTACTGCAGGGCAGCTGAAGTCCCTTTAGACATGTACCATCCTATCATGGAGAGTTTATTGCTATGCATTTATTTTCATATGACGTGCTTATATCTGTATACTATATAAACCCCGTTGAAAGAATACATGGTTATATAACCGCAAACCTCGCTCAATTATGTATAAGCCTGATTTGTATCAGTTCATTATGATCACATGATATGTGCCTATTTTTGTACATGTATATTTGCTTATTTAAGGGTATGTTTATGCTCACTTTTTTCTGGCCAGAATAATGCATTTCTTACGCGTTTAGTTCAAAATATTGTAAAGTCCCACACAAAACAAAATGGTCTCACATGGTTGAGGACTTGAGCTGCACTATTTTACAAAAAGGACTATATAAATGTGTCAACAATTTTTGTTGTTGACACATTTATATAGTCCTTTTTGTAAAATAATGCAGGTCAACCCTGTGACCAATACAATCTGAATCTCACATTTTTTAATTTTTTTTTTTTTGTATCTTAAAATTCAGCACAATTGCAAAATTGCAATCAAAATTGACATTTTAGTCTTTTTTCTTCTTTTTTTTGTTTTGTTTTTTTGAAAATAAAAGATGGGCGCATTAAGGAGTTCACCCAATTGACGTGTAACTAACAAATTTGATGGAAAAACACATGACAAAATGTTTGAACGTTTGTCTTCTTCTTTTTCCCGTCTAAACATTAAAAACTGACAATGTAAAGAAGCTCTAACCAATCCACCTCTCCTCGCCTATCCAGACTTTGAAAAGGAGTTCATCCTATCTTCGGATGCATCCCTTCATGCAGTTGGTGCTGTCCTCTCACAGACTCAAGATGGTAAAGAACGTGTAATCTCCTACTTCAGCCAAACTCTCAGTGCTACGCAGAAGAAATGGTCTACCTATGATCGAGAGCTCTGGGCAATTGTTACAGCTGTTCGCCATTTTCGTCATTATCTGAGACACCAACACTTCACTATCCTGACAGACCACAAACCTCTTTTGGCTCTCAGGAAGTTCCCAATTCAAGACGATGCAACTGGGAAGAGAACACGATGGATATTGGAACTCAATTCCTACACGTTCAGCCTTATTCACAAGAAAGGACAATCACACAGAAATGCAGATGCATTATCTAGACGCCCGAGTCAAGAAAGCCAAGTCACTCCAAGATTGACAGATCAGCTACTCAAGCACATGGTGACCAATCCACTGTGTAATGCAGTCGAGACTCGTTCATCAAGATCACGACTATCAACAGACGCATCTACTCCCAATGATGCAACGAGGCAGTCTGCACCAAACGTCCTTCATCCTTACCGTGGTGTAATCCTTGACAGTGATGTAGATGTTCAACATGAACAGCAACTAGATCAAGACATCAGTACAGTCATCGAATGCGTCAA